CTCTCTGACCCAATCTTCCTCTACCCAGGGCAGGTCTTCCTCTCCACCAGCTTCTTCTCTTGTCCCTAGGGCCTGGGGCTCTAATTGGCTGCCCTTGGTAAACACCAAAGCAAAGAAGGCATTCAGCAACTCTGCTTTTTCTGTGTTATTTGTAACCAGGGTGCCCCTCCCATCTGCCAGAGGACCCATATTTTCCCCAATCTTCCTTTTGCTGTTAATGTATTTGAAGAAATTTTTCTTATTATTTTTAACGTCCCTTGCCAGATTGTGTTCCAACCGTGGCAATTAGCTGGCCATGCTAGAGGGGGCAAAAGAATTAAGTTCTTACAACTGCCGTGAAGTAGATAGCAACGGCTAGTGTAAGATGGCAGCATATTAAGACTTTGCTTTGGATGCCCTTTGGTTGCTTTTCGGTGGTTTGCATGTGAATCCCAGAACAGCAGATTTCCTAGGATTCCTACCTCCTGTGTTCCTCACCTGCCTATAATCCCTTGCGTGGCAGTGGTAGAGCAGTACATCCCAACAACTGCAGGATCAGGAAAAATGTGCCGTACTGTAAACGCTGCAGAGCGAAAGCATGAAATGAAAACCTCTCACGGGTGCACTAAGAAACAGGACCTACCCCTTTTGCATGCTTTGCTTGCACTGCTCTATACCAGAGTGCTGCACATGGACTCCAGCAATATCCTGCCTTAGGGCCATGCTCCTCCCCGTGCAACACCTGCCTTTTCTTCCTCCCTAGTAGCACCTCTGGTTTGTCAGCTGGTGCCATGAGCAGGAAACAGGATCCAGTCACTTTCCCAGCCCCTCACTACACAGCTGTAAGCAGGCAAAGAACAGTCTCAGCACATGGCCTAGAAACTTCTTCGTCTGCAAGAGGGAGCTGCTCTGCTCCACATTCAGTGGACAGCAGCACCAACTGTCAGTTCTCCCAGGCAAAGAGAGTAGCAACCAGCAAATATCTGAGCAAGCTACCTGGAAAGATGAACTTGCTAGCTCTGGAAAGCTATCTGCTCCTGGAAGATAGCTTTCCAGACAGCCACCCACACAAATCCCCTCCACCACTGCAGCAGCAGTTACAAGCCCAGGGCCCAAAGATAAGCAGTAACAGGAGAGATGATGTTTGGTGAATTCCAGGCACAACCTGCAGTGGTAAGATGCACCTTGTACCTATGCAGTAACTGTTAGAGGAACAGGAGGAGAGCATCTCCCCACAGGCACTATGCCAAGAGGGAGATGCTCTAGTTTTGTTATGCGTTTCTCATCACCAGGCCCTCCTAAGGAAAATACAGGACACATTATTATGTTTATTCTATTTATTGTTCAGTATGGGACACAACAGAGGCAAGATGTCTCACAAGGGTCTAAGCTGACAGACTCCTTACTGATGGGCCTGAAGGATGCAAGAGACTGTGATTCCTTTCTTCCTTCCTCCCTGCTGCAATGCAGAGAAAGGGGGAGGCAAGAGCCAGCTTGACTGTGAGCTCTAATAGGTACACAGGATCAATGGGCATGTGAGGATTCTGCCAACTCAACTCTGCTGAAAACAGGCTGCCACCAACAGAGCTCCAACATGGTGATGGGGGTTAGCAGCACAGCTAGAACAATGACCGTGGAGGGGAAAAGCCTCAGAGGAGACATCTGTACCAACACATGTGCAATGTAGGGTTCCTTGTTGCTTCCGGTTCTTGCTCCTAATCCCAAGGGACTCCTTGTGATTCCAAGGGACTCCAGGCTGCTTCAGTGTTTTGCATTAATAATATCCACAAACTCTGGCTTGAGAGAAGCCCCTCCAACAAGGAAGCCATCCACATCATGCTGTGAGGCCAGCTCCTTACAGTTGCCACCAGTGACTGAACCTACAGAGGAAGCAATGTTTTAAGACCAGTCCTAAATTTAAACACCAGGACAGAGGTGAAACTTGCAGCTTGTTTCTGGGCCACCTCTTGGCTCTGCAGACAGCAAGGCTCATGCAGCTATCTCCCATTCACCCTACCAGTGCTTTTTTTCCCTACTCTGCCAATCTCAAGTTTCCTCATCAGCAGAGCAGACAGCATGCTGTACAATGTTGCAATAAGCAGAGAAACACAGTGCTCCCTGCACTGGAAAGGGGCAGCCTCATTTACCTCCATAGATAATCCTAGTTGACTGAGCAACAGCATCGGACACGTGGCTTTTGAGCCATCCCCTCAGCTTCTCATGAACTTCCTGAGCCTGTGATTGAGGGCAGAGGGAAAAAAAAAAAAAAAAAAAAAAAGAGAGAGAGAGAGAGAGGCAGCCTGAGGCATTCTCTGTACAACACCCTTCCAGAGAGAAAATGGCCTTGCTCCAGCTTCAAGCTGATGGATCTCACTAGTAAGATCCCTTAGTGGAAAGGGCCAGTTGTGTCATACCTGTTGAGGTGTTGCAGTTTTACCAGTACCAATAGCCCACACTGGCTCATAGGCAAGAACCACTTTACTCCAGTCCTTCACGTTATCTGGAGAAGAGAGAGCAGGTTTCAGGTCAGCACAGTGCCCCATACCGAGAAAAGCAGGGTTGTCTGAAACATGCAGGCCCGCTACAAGCACAGTCATTACCACTGCTGCAAGCATTCACACACACACACGCACGTGCACCACCTTCCAAAGACGCGTTAAAGCCACAATGACCATCTGCCAGATGGCCAAGTGTCCATTTTCCTCCCTTACCAGCAATAGCTTTAGTCTGTTCAAAAACCACCTTCTCTGTTATGCCAGCTTCTCTCTCATCCAGCTTCTCTCCAATGCAGGCAATGACACCAAGGCCTTCAGCTAGAGCATGAGCCACCTTCTGTCCGATCAGCTGCAAACGGGAAGGGGAGCAAGATAAGCAAGAGTGCAGCCCATCCCTGTGCTCGTCCTTCCCAGACGCTGCTCACCCCTCCGGCCTGCGCAGGGGTATCTGAACTGGGCCATCGTCCTTGCCCAGGGTCACTCACCTCATCGGATTCTCCAAAAACATGTCTCCGCTCCGAGTGGCCCAGAATCACCCATGTGGCTCCAATGTCCTTGATCATGGCTGGGCTGGGGAAGGATGGAAATCATGGTATTTAGCTTATACTTGCAGAGGAAATCTGCTTCCTAAGAGTACGCTGGATTCACTTTTAGGCTCACCTGATCTCGCCTGTAAAAGCTCCCTTTGGTACCTTGTAACAGTTTTGTGCCGCAACACCAATCTTTGCATCCAGCTTCTGACGGGCAAAGTCAAGGTAGATGGCGGGGGCTCCACAAACCACCTCTGAAAAGCAGAGGGGAACAGAGAGAGGAGGGGGGAGGAAAAAAAAAAAAAAAAAAAAAAAAAGGAAGTGAAGCTTGAGAAGGGGCAGGAAGTGCACCCAGGCACTGACCCTGCAATCCAGCACTGAGGGTCATCCTCCTGCCCTAGCTAGCCTGCCTGCCCTTGCTGACATTTTGGGGACTCTCTGCCACAGCAGCGGGAGGGATATTCCTGCTCTCAGTTATCTGATGACTCAACAGCTCCGAGGAAATCCTTTCTCGTGGCAGCCATATAGGTGAGATCAGGCAGACAGCCAAGCCCCTCAACCACTTCGCAGAGGGCCCTTGGAAAGGGCCCAGCTGGGAAACCGGGCAGGAATTCTGCCCTCTTGCTGAGGCTTCTCTGAACCGGGTGAGAAAAGGGCAGCATCAGGTTACACCTGGGATCATATCTGGGTCTAGTGGCAAGTAAAATCATCTTGTGGCCTCCCTGGCTGGCACAGCCCCAGTGTGACCTCTGATGAAACGCTGCACTCTGCGCTCCTTAATTGCAGTGGGCACTGGAGCGGCTTGGGAGCACCTGGGTGAAGGGTACTGAGGACAACCCACAGGGCCGCGAGAGAGAGCAGCCAGGCTGGCCAAGAGGAGCAGGACCTGGGCAGCAAAGAGGCCCGAGGCCCAGCGCGCAGCCGGGCGAGGGAGGGCCGCGGTGGCGCCCAGACCCGACGGGCTCCCCGGCGCGCAGTTCCCCGGGCGCCCTGAAGGGCCCTTCCGCGAG